TAAAATTGTTTGCATTAAAACAGTCAAAACATAACAAATATTATTTTGTTAAATTTAATAACACAATTTAAGAGATAAAATAACGGTTAAGATCACTACAACCCTTGCTTAAGATCATGGGTTCGAATCCTCATTTGTCCCTCTTCCTATGAATTTTGGTAAAATTTATAGAATAAAAATAATAAATAACAAATCCCTTGACAAGGGATTCAAACCTAATACTTCAAGTACATTTATGCCGTCCTTCACCAATTAAAATACAAGGATATTTGAAAATAAGATCAATTACCATGTAAAAATTTAATCTATTGTTAAACAAAAAAATTTCTTCCAACGGATCCAATTAGAAGGGCCGCCTTAGCTGACCACCACCTAAATTCGCCACTGGTCATATCCCCTTCCCACTCCCAAGGATGGTATGTTGGAGGTCACAAACGTATGATAGCTAAGATGTAATATTTTTATGTCGACATGTAAATAGTTGGAATAGGCTCACGTGTCAAAGTATCTAAAACCTCAAACTCATTTATTTGTTTATAAGTATTCGTACTTGATGACATTTGGAAGTATTCAAAAATTGATATTCTCACTTTGAAAATATAAACCATGGCCCCCACTTTTCTTCTTCGCTTGTTCTACCCCGCACGCATTATAAATCTTTGTTCATTTTATTTACTTGATTATCACAGCGGTTATGATTGCAGCTTCCCCACCTTTGTTTGGAGAGGTTACAAGTGCACATGCAACTTGCGGCCAGAGAAAAGTAAAGGTGAATTTGTCGGTGAGCTGAGCCTTTGATTGGGCTCCATTTAAAATGCATTTTGAAAAAAAAAATGAATTTTTGAATGGTAATATTATGGAGAATATGTAGTTAAGAGATATGGAAAAGATTTTTGTTTACATGTCATATTATTTTATTTAATAATGTGTGATTGAAAATGAAAATGAAAATGAAAAAAAAAAAAGTATTTTGGAGAATGAACCCATACAAAAGTAGCACTATAAAAGCCAAAAGGACTTCCAATTCGATATAATCGCTTACTACGCAATGATAAATATTGGTTAAACTATTCATGATTACCATTACCAATTGATATTTTACCATAAACACAAGCATCCATAAATGGGTGCGAATGATATTCACTGAAATTATTATAATCACATGTAAAAAAGTGAAGTATGTTTGGAAAGTGTTTATAAACGATATTGTTTATCGAGAGAAATAAGTATTGAATATGTAGGTAGTACTTTTGGATCCAGGAGATCGGTAAATAAAAAGTAATTTCTATGTTTATAAATATGAGCCGAAAATTGGTTAAATTAGTGCAAGATTGTCAAAGCTTAGAATTTTCAAGTGCTTATAAATTGTGAATTTTACGAATTATTTGGATAAAATATTTGTTTGATCAGCTCGGAAAAAAAAATTAAACCTTTATCAGATTTGCACTTAGATAGATATAATTAATTTCAATATAGTGATTGGAACCCAATAATTTGGCTGAGTTCACGATTTCTAGCTAATGTTACTGTTTTTTATTTATTTATGTATACTGATACTAAAATATTGGTTATCCATTTCAATAATCCATTTGCTTCAGCCTTCAAGTCTACATAAAAAAAATAAAAATTTTGAATTAGAGTCATAGAGATAAAATATTTTTAAGTATTACTAATATTTACCATCTATTTGATTTAATCATCAATTGGGCCAAAAAATCAAATTTAGAAATTAGTTAGGTTGTGTCAAGCTAGCTAGGCTAAAGTTTGGGAGATGGAGTATCGATCAATCATTTAATTAGTTAATTGTTTAGAAAAAATTAAAATAATTTAATTTATTCAATATAAAAAAAAATTAGGAAGATTCAGTTCTTGGTCTAAAATTGATAATCGAATCGTATCCGTCAGTTCTCGATTCAGGTACTCGTTCGGATATTTAACTTAAGAAAAATCGTCGGGTTCGGGTTCGTTTTAATTCGGTTTGGGAGTTTTGCCTAGCCCTGGCCACCAACATCTTATCATCACTCAACCACTACCACGACTACCATAGTCAATCACCTCGCCACCACAAAAAACTATCATAGTCACCACCGCCACTCAAAAAATAAAAACCAACGCCTCACTGCCATCAACCACCTGTAACACCACCGTACCGCAATCACCAAATCCACCACTATCACCACAATCGCGTAGATCTACCAGATTCACCACTATACTATAACCCACCACCGCACTGCAACCGCTAGATCCACAACCATGCAAATTAGCCAGATCCACCACTGCACCACAACTCACCATCGCACTACAACCACCAAATCACCCCCATCACAACAACCTAGCAGATCCGCTACCACCACGCAAACACCACCAAAAAATCAAATTCAAAATTATTACAATCATCGCCATGGCCATACCAACACCTGTAACGAAAAGGGGATGAGAGAGGGGAGAGGGAGAGAGGGAGCATAGGCGGTGGTTGCACGGCATGACTTTGGCATGCAACGATGGCGACTTCACCGTGTAGAGTCATCTGAGAGATAGTAGGAAATAAAGAGGGTAAATAAGATTTGTAAAAATAAATTAGGGTTTGTTAGGTTATGGTGCTTGTGGTAGACTAATTATATTTAATAATATTATTAGTATTAAAATATTTAGCACCGTTTGATTCTCATTTTTTGGCCACAAAAATAAAAATATGATTGTTATTCATAACATCAAGCCATCATATTTGACTTTTTATCTCTTGTGTGGGTTCCGTAACAATTATATTTTTCATTCTCATTCTTAAATTTATGTGAATCAAATAGGGCCTTAATTATGATTTGAATCAATATATGATTTTTGTATAAATAAATTTAGGATCTGATTTTTGAAATTGAATCTTAAAAGATATGGATGTGTGTAATTTCCACTAATTCAAAGAGGGGGGCGGGGGAGGTTCCAAGAAATGGGTTTAATAAACCCAAACAGGCTTTGCACTTGGGGCCAAAGCCCAATAATAATCTGTTATCGACCCGTTTGATATGAGCGCATTCGGGTGGAGTAGCGTGAAATCACCGCGCAATTCCTCTCGTACTCCGCCAGAGTCTATTGGCCGGCAACTTCTAAACTCGAAACAGCTTTTCTTCAAAAAATCTAAAAAAAAAATTCCAAAGCCTAATCCTGTGTCATTTGATGGCCGATTCTAGGGGTTCGACTTTATCTCCTGACTGCAATGGAAATGATGAGATTGAATCTGTTGCACGGAATTATGCGGAGATTATTGTTATTCGTCACGGTGAAACTGAATGGAACGCTGATCATAGAATTCAGGTTTGTTTTACTTTCGTACCTCTCTTTGTTTATAATTTTCTAATCATATAAAAAGAGGAATTGTTCAAGCTGCAGTGAGAGGCAAAACTGTGCAAGAATCAATGAAAGAAAAAGAAAAGAACAGCATGGCAGTTTCAGTTTGAGTGATTCTATTTATTGAATAATTGCATCATAGAAATTATCTTTTGCTCTAATTTCATTTAAGAAAGATTTGAGGGATTGCAATACCATTTTGGCTAGATGTGTTTAATTTTCCATTAAAATACTGCACTGATGCTTTTTATCTAGCGTTTATTCTTTGAGATTTTTGAAGAATTAGTAACGTAATGTTATTGCTATGAAAATGACTAAACATTGTTCGAAGAGTAGGTTTCAGCTCGAAGTCACAGGATTTTTTTCTTATTATCACGTATTACTGTGACTTATAATTTGTTTTTTTCAGGGACACCTGGATGTGGACTTAAATGATATTGGGAGGCAGCAAGCCTATGTAGTACGTCATGTCTCGTGTTATCATTTCTTGTATGTTTTATCATTGATATTGTTTGGAGCTGAAATTTTTGTATCCTTGTGCCAAAGGTTGCTGAACGGCTATCAAAGGAGCCTAAAATTTCTGCAGTATACTCATCGGACTTGAAACGAGCATTCCACACAGCAGAGATCATAGCAAAGTGTTGTGGGGTACTTGAGGTGTGAACCGTGGGGATTAACTTCGCATTGATTTTCTAGCCATCTAGAGTTACATATGCAAGTAATTTATGTCACTTTATGAACTGAAAGGTGTATGATTGAGCATTTGGCTTTTGACAGTCAGTCATTAATTGGGGGAAACTAAACTTTTTTTCACTCTAGCTTTGTCATGTAGCCGTATTTCTTTGCAACAAACAGTTTTTTACTTTTTCAACTAAATTTCATCTCCAGTTTGCCCTTCTTGTTTCCTGAACTGTGTTATTATGACGGACTTCTGTGACTAGAACAATAGACTGGCAATAGAAGGATTCTTTGCAAAACTAGCAACTTATTTGGAAGATTTTAACCCTTAGGGAGTCTAAATCTTCTAATTCAAGTTGGTTGATCCATTTTGTTTTTATATCTTTGATTTCGTTTCTTTAATGCCTATTAGCTTGCATATTTTTTTGATCATTGTGTGATTGTATAGTTATTATGATTTTTGTTTCGGATACAAGGAAAAGTTCACTGCCTCCAAATAGTTCTCGGTTGAAGTCTATATGGATGGTTATTTTTTATGTATAGAATTTCATAACCTGGTTTACATGGTTGCTATGTTTCTTTGCCTCTAACTCTCTTGTAAACACGCAGTTGCATACATTTAGATCTTTGAATGTTCTGCATATAGATTTTGCTTGCCATTTTGGTGACCAAGTAAAAGAGGTGCCCGAACTTTCATTTGGGTGAATATTCAATTTAATATGGTGTACCTGGTTATAATTTAAAAGCATTTTCCACTTCGGAATTATCACTGCCCATACTAGATAACTTTGATCAGTGGGTGGTTGTGGTGATGTTTTGTTCCATGGAGGATTAGGTGGGTGCTTTGACGAGATTAATCGTGTTCTGTTTAAGAGAAGCATATTATTAGACCTTTCTGTCAAATCTTGAATATTATTTATCTTTGGTAACAGGTTGTCAAAGATCCAGACTTGCGGGAAAGGCATTTGGGTGACCTTCAAGGTATTGTGTTTCACGAAATAGCCAAAATCAAACCTGAGGCTCACAAAGCATTTATATCTCATAGGAGGGATCAAGAAATTCCAGTAATTGCTCTTCCTCTCTCTCTTTATGCACTGTACTGCTCTAAGTTGCTTGTATTTATTTATTTAGTCCATATGAACTCCATTTGCATAATTAAGTGTCCTGAAGATTATACTTGATAAGTTTAAGAGTGTATCCATTACAAAAATGCTATCTAATTGAACATCCTATTTCAAGAGATACCTGCCCCCACTAAATAACCAAAGTGTGCAAATGTTAGATTGGTGATAACCGCGAGATAGTAGGCTCCCCAATCTATCCTCTAGCTAGATAAACTTTAAAGTAAAAAAATCAAAGATCAGCCCCAATACCCGTATGTCGGCATCGCAAATGTACCTACCATGAGCTCTCTGGCTGGTGGATTCTGTATATTATAAGAATTTGAGGCTAAGAATGTCATTCTTCCATTGGCTGACATTTTCATTGCAAATTTTGCTAACTAGAACTAGGAGACACAAATGAAGTGGGATTCCTGGGTATCCAGCACTGCCATTTAAGGTGATGCAGTGAGAAGCAAGAACATTAAAAAACCTGTTGATTCAACGAATACTCTAGAATTTGAGAATCAAGAGTTATAATGCCCGGTTTATTGACATGAACTTGAGAGAAAATGT